ATATATATATATATATATATATATATATATATATATATATATATATAGGAAATAAATATATCTAAATAATAAGTAAGAGTGAATAAATAATAGGCATAAGTACGAGACAAGACATAACATGTTGTAATTAAAATTATGCAAGTAATTTTTTTATGGTTTTGTACAAAATTTACAAATATAATATAAAAAATATTTCTTAAATATGAGTTAAAGAAGATAAAACGTTTCAATTTCTTAACAGACATGATATACCTAATAACTCAATTTTGAAAATTGTGAATTGCCATTTTGAATTACTAATCCGAAAATACATGTAACAGTTTCGTCGATCAAACATATAACTGTTTTCTTTAAGTAAAAACTTTAATAACAAATTTTAAATGTCTAATATCATTTATATTGTAGTTAATTAAATAATACCTGGTCTCGCATAAGAGTTGCGTATCTGCAGGTGACATCAAAGCCATTGAAAAATATTTCAATAATCTTCTTAAGCAAAAGCTTCGACTTATACGAATCTGTTAACGATTACCTTCATTGTCCATAAGAGCACAGTATCGCTTCTTCGGTTCTCCTACCATCATTTTTCTCATGTTTCACAACATATAATCTGTTTATTAGAATGTTAAATAAACAACGCAACTGTGAACTCCAAATATCGCATAAATGTGATTCGATATAATGTTTGATAAACTCAAACACCACATTAAACGGAATTCTTTTTTTTTTTAATTACACTTTCTAGGGTCCGTTTTTTTTTATTTCTGCATTTCAAACTAGAAATTCACTGCGAGATAATTACGTTGGTAAGCAACTTATATATATATGTATATAATAAATGGAGGACCAACAGTGGAAGAAATGCAGTTGGAAGTAGTTTGAAACGCCGCAATAAGAAATTTACAAAATTATTAAACGCATGTGATATACACAGCAACGAGTACAAGAAAAAATACTATTTTCTGAGACAAATTATGCGATATAATATTTATGTAAGTAATATTATTTTTTGTAAGATATGTTCACTTATCACAGATTGAAGAATTATGAGCTAGTTGCTATTGTAATTTGATAAGATGTATGATTATTTAAAGAAAATTGTATTTAATCTTTGCTGCATGTATCTGCGCGAAATCGCTTGTAATACAAATCTGATTGAAGTGTTATTGTACTATTGTAAAATAAATCATATGCAAATTATTTATATGTGGACAAAATTTTGATTATGACGTTTTCCAATACAAATTAATGTAAAATTCTTTGAATGTATTCATTCTTTCCACATACTCCTTCATATACATTAATATATTACTCCTTAGCATTGCTTTAAGTCAAGATTTTAATTGATTTATTTTTTATGCTTCTTTTCGCCTCAACGTATAAAATATTTAATAGTTGCGAAGAAAGTTATTTTTGAAAAAAATTAATTGTCATATTTTATTTGATTATAGAATACACCGCAAAGCGAATAATTTTACATCGCAGATTTTTTTTTATCAATTCAAATATAGCGAACGACAATCATTAATATCTATGAATCATCAGAATCCATAAGTAATAATATGTCATATCTGTTGCGAAAGTTATAGACAATGAAAATTGATTCTATAGCGTTAATTATATGGTAAACAGGAATGTCTTTATGGAAAGTATAAATTCTTTTTACGGATTTTGTACGCATCCAATACTTCTTTGTATGGTTTTAAATTAAAATAAATTTTATGTGTTTAAATTTTACGACATCTCTCAACATATAATTTTCCGATCAATTTCAGGTTATGTGTTTATGTGAATGACTGCAGGATTGAATGTGAGCAACGGAGAACTGTAACATATCAGTCGTTTATTAGTACATAATTAACTTGTGATCCATGGAATAGAATATTCGACAATTACTTAAAATTACGTTAAATATTTTGTGTCGACTATATGTGTGCGCATATCTAGTGAAGCATAATTTTTGAAGCAGGATAAAAACACATGGTTTTTAGTCGACTTATAACCCTCTTCACGAAAACGAACTTAACGCAGTGGTATTGACGTAGTGGTCCATTACCCAGAAGATTAAAAATTCAACGCAAGAGCTAATTATACCCGTCGCATTAAGCACACGGACATCAGGAGAAATACTTTCTTAATCATCAATTCTTTCACTGTCTATCTATTTAGAATAAAGCAAGAGTGCATCTGAGTATTTAAAAAATGAAGAAACCAAGTCTATGACAGTTTGATTTTTTAAATTTACCTAATTTGGATATGTTTTTGCGCGAGGAAGCAGTCACTTTGACAGAGGAACGTGCAAAGAGAAGGGGCAAAAAAGGCCCCGGGCACCGGTGGCAAAGTCTGTTACCAGTCAAACTTTTATTCAATTGCGGAAGAGGGCGTAAAATTTACGCTATACCCCAGGTGCAGTTTTCTCTTTGTACGGCTCTGCTTTGACATCGGACATTATAATAAACAGAATATGCCAAACAAAGGAAAACGGGTAGGAGTTAAGAGTAATACTGTGCCTTTGTGCGATCAGTTCAGGCAGAAAGATCTATTACCGCAAGTCATTTGGAAAGGCTATAACGTATCTGTCCTAAAATGGATTTTTCAAGATCTATTATAGATCCACATTCTTTTGCGGAACCAGGTATTTAATTATTTAATTGTCTACATAAACATAATATATAAAACTTCAAGTTTATTTATTTATTTTCTTCTTAAAGAAATAGAATAAGGAATATTTGCGGAAATTATTAAGATGTTTGAAAGACGAAACTGTTGCACACATATTATATATAATACTTAGCTCTTTAAAAATTTATAATTTTTAAAAGTATTTAGATTATTCGTTCGATGCAGTTTTAATTAACAGATAGCATTCTACGCATTTCATTGAATACATAAAATATATTGCTCTTACAATTAGCATAAAAATCTGAAAATTGTGTGCATTTTACAAATAATATATCGTACACGTTATTACCATAATGATTCTCATTTCAACTGTGTTATTATTATTATTATTTTTTGTCATGTACTTATTCATTATATCTATATATTATTACTTATTACTCATGTTTTTTTTATTTCTGTATCTTTTGAATTATAAGAATTGGCACGTGTAAAAAATACCAATTTAGAATTGATTGTGGATTTTGATAACAAAGTTCTCAAAGGAAAAGCGATTTTAACGATAAAAAGGAAACCTTTGGCTAGTGAAATAGTAAGTAAATGTTTTCCTTCGTATCAAACAATGATTTTGTCTGTTATTAATATGTAATATCGAATAATTAGATTTTAGATAACCTCAAACTTGTTATATCAAGTGTCACAAACGTGCTCGATGGAAAGCCTTTACGTCATCGCATTGTAAAATGTTCTGCCCTTGGAAGTTTATTTTGCGTAGAGTTACCACCAGCTGTTGATATTTACACTTTTAACCCTGAGTAAGTATAAAAGATTTGTCGAAAAGTATAATTACTAACAATTATTAATTTAAGAATTTAATACACCCATAATGCGATACTTTCAGATGTAAAATTCAGATTGAATACAAAACAACTGAAAACTCTCCTGCATTACATTGGCTAATACCTGCACAAACTGCCGATGGTAAACATCACTTTCTACTGTCTCACAACAAGGTAAACTGGCAAAACAAAGACGTTTTTCTATATTAGATTATTTAAAGATGTCTATTTTTCAGCTAATATATGCTAGAGCATGGTTTCCCTGCCAGGATACACCGTCTGTCAAATCTACGTACACCGCTAATGTAAGAATTTTATCACAGTAGTATTTGTATGCATTCCATACTTATTCATTTATATGAAACGACATACAATTGATTGACATTATTGACATTATTGATAAAAGTGGTAAAAATTTGCAATAAAATATAATTCGTTAATTCGTCAAAAAGTGATTAAGTATCTATAGAAAACATTTGAATAATTTTAAATATTAAAACTTATTTTCTTAAAAATTAAATTTTTGTATACACTTTTAGTTAAATTTAAATAAAATATCAATTTAATTCATAATCATTGTCTATTAAATTTTATTTCTTAGATTTCGGTACCAAAAAATTATAGAGTTGTAATGTCCGCAATTTTGAATAATGAATACGAGAGTGGGGAACTAAACGTATATGAATTCCATCAAATGAATCCGGTACCATCACATGCGGTGATTATTGCTGTGGGCTTATTAGAGAAAACAAAACTTAATGCAAAATCAAATATATTCGCCGAGAGCAAATTTATTCGCGAAAGTATCGATACGTTTGAGACAAATTTTAGTAAGATTGAAAGAATGTTGGAGATTGCCGAAAGTATGTGTGGATCTTATTTTTGGGGTAAAGTATAAGTATATTATGACTAAACTTGTTGACCTTTTGGTTTATTTAAATTTCTACATGCAATTAATGAATTTTATTATTGCGCATTATAATTTCTCTTTTTTTGCATATTGTTATTATTTTTTGCTATTATATGTAAAACGATGTCTCTATAGAAAGATACGATATATGTGTGCTTCCACGAAGTATCGCCCATTTCGAAATAGAATGTCCATGCGTGATATTTATTCCACCGACTCTACTTTATGGAGATTTTACTTGTGTCGGTTTATTTGCTCGCAACATCTCACAGAGCTGGACAGGAAATTTAGTTACGTGTTGCAATTATGAGAATTTGTGGTTAAATAAGAGTTTCAACATTTTTATAAGTAGAAAAATTGAAAGCGAACTATTAACAGAAATATTATTTTCTGAGCGTCACAAGGCACATATATTACCAGAGATTAAACATGACATTAAGAATTTTCTTCAGTGCGAGGGACTAGAAGATCTGCGAAAAATGGTATGGTATATATAAACATTGATTAGATCAAAGAAATAAAGTAATAAATAATGTTACTAAAAAACAAGATTTTATATTATACACACAACAAACACACATTCTTGCATTTTTACTGTATTAGCTTTTAAAATTGTATTATAGGAATTTGACTTGCTAAAGTGCTTAAAACCCAATTTGACGAATTTGTTGCCCTATGAAGCTACTAAATACGTGCCTTATGAGTGGGGATGCGTGCTCTTAACTCATCTAGAGTACATGTTAGAAATAAAAAAGTCTTCGGTATTTGAACCATTTCTTAAATCTTATTTTCTCAAATTTGCCTTTAAAAGTATAAACACTCAAGATTGGATAAAGTACTTGTATCTATATTTTTCTGACAAGAAAGAAAAGAAGGTAATATGTCTTTTATACGTACAAACACTACAAACTACACTTTCACTAATATTCATACTTTAGCTTTTAAAAATAATCACTTTACTGTTGTTTTCAGATATTATATGATCTTACATTGGGCAAGTGGCTCTACGATATTGTTTCTCCACTTATGGTCCCATTGTTCCCATCCGCATCGGGAATGACTAAATGGGAAACAAAATGTTCCGACTTAGCGGATAGATGGGTTAAATGGAATTGTAAAACCGATAGAATACCTCCTATGTTAATAGATGAAAGGCACCCTTGTGACGCTGAGAAAATAATATTTTTAAGCAGCCTACATACTTCTTATGAAAGTTTGACCATACACAAACTGAGATTAATTTCATGTCGTTACGCTTTTGATTGCCAAAATGCTAAAATACGGTAAATATCTTTTACAGAAATTCAATACTGTAAATGATTATTTGGCTAGTAATTAATTACTTATTTTTAGTGTTAAAAGCAATGTTAACAGTGCTTTTAATGCTCAGAATAAGTAATTAATCACTAGTCAAATAATTACTTACGGTATTAAATTTTTGTAAGCGCGACGCACATCTTAATTCAGATTAACAAACTATTACTTAACGTAAAACGCATATATCGCAGATGTCTTTGGCTGCTATTGTGCATTAAAGTTCGATGGGTTGGAAAAGTGGAATCAGCTTTGTACTTTGCCAGTCAAAATTGTTCGCCAGATTATGCATGTGATATATTTCAATATTTGTACGAGTGGACGGAAATGCGTCCAATAGCGATCAAAACATATATTTACAATAAAGGCAAGATGTTATATGAAACCAAGGAGAAATTGGCCACTATTTTACATCTAAATTGATAATTATCTGGTTAATAATTAACTTAATTTTCTTTTTTACAAGGTGAGTCATCAGTAACTGTAATATAAAATAATTCATTTATTATATGGAAAGAAACGCTTGAAAAATATTAAATTCTCTATGAAACAAATATAGTAAAAACTAATTCCTTAGCACGCACTTTATATAAGATAACATCGTTGAAATTTAAAATGTCAGCAGTTGCAGAGCCAATGATTGGAGGTAGTTTGGTTCGCTGTGAAGCACGATGATAATTCCCGTTAAATCATCAAAAATCGTATAAATTTGTAAAAATGAAAAAAATTTTTTGTATACAGAATATCATGCATGTAATTAATTGTAGTAATGTAATTTTTTGTATGTAATATAGATATATCTGCATAAGTGTCTAAATTTCACTTTCCTTACAAAATGGACTATGCGTATTATTGAAATCAACTCTTGACAAGAAGTTTGAATCTTGGATTTATGTAAATAAATTCTCATTGTTATTTCCTTGATTTGTTGCGTTATCATAACTTTCACTTTGTCTATTTGATTTAAAAAATTATTAAATAGGGTAAAAGAATTGTTACTTTATATTTTGAATTTGAGACAAATTTATAATGTATATTACTAATGTTAAATATTTTTAGTTTTTAATTTGTAATATATTAGGATCAATTTTCATTGTCTATCATTTTCGCGACACCTATGACGTTATTGCTTATGGATTCTGATATCCATATGATGATCCTAATAACGATTGTCGTTTGCTAGATTTAAATTGCTAATAAATTGCAAAATGATTCGCATTTCAGCGAATTTGTGCGCTAAAATTGAATAAATTATTAAATATTTAATGCTCAAAAGAGTAACAAATTAATTAATGATAATGATTAATGATTAAGTCGCAACGAAGTGTTAGCGTTGTAAAATTTGTATTTGTGATAAAATAATCTACAGACGTTTCGGTTTGTACTAAACCATTCTCAGTGTAGAGTTACAAAACCGAAAAAAATTAAGATATAATACACATAATTATAATTACAAAAAAGACAAAGAAATTAAGACATAGTACCTATGTATAAATATAACTACAAAAAAAGAAAGATTAAAAACAATTACTAATTAAAACACAATACACATAATTATCGCATAAGAAAATCGCTGTGTTGTAAATTTCGACGAATCACACTGTAATGTTGTAAAAAATATTTTCTAATGCTTACTGTTTTGGTTTACAAATAAATGGTGTTACATATTAAAAATTTTAGGTCACACATAAGCCGATTTCCATTTGACGATCTGATATATCATACCGATATACATAATGTCAACTTGTTGATAAACGTCGAGACAAACGTAAATTTTAAACAACACATACAATATCATTATCCACATTAACAATCACATAACAAACGTTATAAATTTTTACTCAGTAAATTTAAATATAACTGAAACATTGATTAATTAGTCCCTAAACAGAGATATATCAAGAGTTATCGCTCATTGAGAAATTGTAAATAGTATACCTATCTCTTATTTTACAGAATACTTATCATATATGCAGTTATAAGGTACAAGTCAATAGTATTTTAATACCTTCAAGATTCTTACAATTGTGACTACCTCCAAATTATTTTTTTACAAATATAATTGTTTTCGGCGTTTTCATTGTTTCTAAATTTTTGAAATTTCTATATTTGCAAAGTTAAAGTATTTAAATATTGTATATTTCAAGATGATAAAAATATTTCTCTCTCTCTTCTCTAATTAATATAAAATCATTACACAACCTTTATCGAAACTTATAGAAATCTCAACAATGTTGTATATATATCTATGTTTTTATTTTTACTATTTCTTATTTTTGTTTCTTATTGTCTGCTTTGTTCGCTCTTTGCGCGTAAATATCAGGTATTTTCTTCCCTGAGCGACGCAAAGAAAGCACATGCCTCAAGTTGACAATAATGCAATCAATTAAGGCTCGCTTGGAGGGCAGGCGAATTGAATCGTCAGGCGATTTCTCGTAAGACTTTTTCTTTATTTCTCTGTACAACTTGCGGGCAACATCTCGTATTAATAGTCAGAATGTTAGAGGCGACGCAACAGTAAGATTAGAAGTGATAGCCACATCGGTTCGGAGAAAGATCATAGCCGATGGATCGTCGATTAACGACGTCTGAAATTCCGAGAAATCCACGAAATCTCACGATCGCGTTTGAAATAGTTCGTCTAAACAATCCGTGACTTGACACAAAGCGGAATAAGTATACTATATACATGTGCGAGTTATAATACACACATGTAGGTATGTGAATAATAAGAAACATTGGCATTACATTTTGATATCCCGGCAGATTTATATCGTTCTAACTTCTAACTGTCTTTGTTAGGTATTTTATTTACACGTGTGTTGACACTAACATAAAGTACTTATTATAATACATATATCTTTGTCAGTTCTCGGAGATTTCCCAGGACGCTCAGATCGTTCTCTTTACATCATCGTATTAAACACTTTACCAAACCCACATCAAAGTAAGAAATATAAATGTGTTGCATTATAAAAGTTGCATTATATTTTAGAAACTTTACTATGGACAAAGAAGTAATATATAATAGGAAAGCACGCTCTCTCCTACTCAAGAATTATTGAAATATAGTAATCAAAAAGCAAATGCAAGTTGTGATGTCATAATATAATATAAATAAAATATAATACAAAAAATCTTGACTTACAATAATAAAAAATTCTGTTACTTGATACATAAAATTCGTGGAAATGATCTATGATGATTAACATGATCAACATTAGAATGCTATACGCTGTCACGTCAAACTTAAAAATTGAGTAACGTTCTCCTGACTGTTTTTATTTGTTTTAAAATATTTATTAAATATGTGGTTAAATAATTTTTGTGTACTCTGCATAGAATTCTAAATAAAATAAAAAAAAAAAATTATATTTTTTGTAAGCAATCTTGTGATAATCAATTTAATTAAGTAACAGGTACTTTAATAAAATAAAATGTTTTGCATAGACTCGAATTCATTGTATTCTTTCAATACGCATCTACAATACTTAATTTCAAAGGAATGAAAATTGTTATGTATTACTGAATTGATGAGCTTTTATGCAAATATGTCACATTAAGTAATATTATAAACATTTCTTGTTACAAAACATACACTGCAAATAGTTCAAATACAAATACAAATAATAACTTCTAAAATAATTCTAACTATGCCTGATTTATGAAAATAAGAAAGTTATCATTTAAATATGTACATAATACACATCATGCTTTTCCTAATATAATAAGCAACCAATGTAATCTCTTTATGTTTCTTAATGATTCGTAGAGCAAGATGATAAGAATATTGGATAAACTTCTTCAGAAAATGGAATTCGATTCTTTTGAGTGCAGGAAACAGTCTTATTTTAAATTAAGAATACATTTGTTACAGAAAGAAAAGAGGTATTTTTACTATTTTTCAATTTCTAATAATAGAAGTATAGCTTTTATATTTGTGTAACATATGTATGTTTATGCAATGCGTAATAAATTATTAGATCAAATGATGCAAGAGTAAAAGCATAATTTTCGTTACTAATTTACTTTTTTCTGACATTATAGTCTTTTGCCTTGGTGGAAGGAATGGACATATTGTAATGGTTTATTAGCAGCAAAAAATGCTACTTGGGATAAAGTGTTTCAAATATATACATAGAGAAATCTGATTGTACACTTTTAAAATCTCTGGCTTGTTCTGAAAATTTCTTTGTTATTCGTAAATATTTAGATTTAATAGTATCAAAGAATTATGATGAAAAAATAAAAGAAAATGATCGAATTTACATTTTTTATTCTATCGTTGCGAGACATGCGAAGAATATGTCATGATAAAGTACTTGATTACATATTAGAAATTTTTTGATAAAGTAAAACCCAGGTACAAATATCATTTTGTATAAAGATATATTGTTTTTAAATTCATAAAAATTCGTTATATATCTCAGTCATAAATTTGCTCTCTTGTTTCTACAGAGAATTTAGTATTAATAATTAATACATATCATTAATCATGTATACTCCCAATCTTCATTGGATAAGGTAAATTAAAAAAAACCAGTTATAATATTATTAATCGATTGTTTAGGAAACGTTTTCGAAATGTCTTACAATTGTTTATAAAACTTTACATGCCGTCAAATATCTGAAAGCAATTTGTATGTGCTACCTGAGATGTTGTTCCAATTATGCTGATTCCGAGACATTATATACATTACCGCCGGTCTTCCATGATGTAAAATTAACATACTAATTAAGGATATGTATCGAAATATATCTGTTTTAGATAAATGAATTTTTGGGAGGTTATTTTATAACGTGGCCGACTGATCTTATTAAACATCCACTTATTGACGATAGATTATATAATGAAGTCAATTTTATATTTAAAATACATTCACCTCATTGAGAATATGTACTTATATCCACATATGCATATATGTACATATATGTGAGCACGCGTGCACGTGCGCGTGTGTATTACTGTATTTTATTTATTACCATAATTATAATTATTATAAGAGACAATTGTGTTACATTCTTATAATTTGATGACAAATTATTATTTATTAATGCTAAATACATGCTTTTAATTAGCCGAACAATTTTATTTTAGATAATGGAAGGCATTAGTGGTGACATCAGATTTAATAATTTATGGGAAAATGTCATATTTTAAACGCAAAATAGAATTACGCTCATCTGAAATAATGCGACACGTGAATCACTTTCGGAATTTTTATTCATAAATCTTTGTTAATAGTTTGAAAAATTATAGTATACCGTTTAATATAATGTTTAATATTTAATCTCAATGTTATGTTTAATGTTTACATTTATATTTATTATTTGTATATATCTATATTTATTATAAATACTAATCTTAATATATATTTTTTCACATAAATGTTTGTAATAAAAAATATTCATGAGTATTTTTTTTAAGTTATAAAATAATAAAAATAGATTAATATTATTAATTAAACATTATATAAATTAAACATGATATAACGACTGAAAGAAGAGATTTCAATATTATAAAATTTATATTTATATTATTTACATAATTATTATATGTACGCGAGCGGAGGAAGAAATGTACAAAAAGGCGAGAAGTCAATGCGAACACCGAATTGTTGTCGATAACTGATTTAATATCTATATATACAATGTCAATTTACAATTATTTACAATGTTGGTTTTCGCGATTGCTCGAGCCACGGAATACTAGCGCGAGTTCGCGAACTAGCTACGGCAATTACGCGA